GTTTCGGATACTTTCAATCTTTTTAACATTTATCTAATCATGAAAATGACAAAACAGCTTCGAGAGATAAAAATTAAAAAATATTTTAAAAGCCTCATAAAGACTTTATATATTTCCAATACACGACCTTGGGAGTCTAATATAGTCTAATTGATTGACTTGACACCCGAGATAATATTGCGTCTGTTGATAATTTTCAAACATTTCTCAGGTTGCTTTTTATTTTTCAGGTTTTTTAGAGTTCAAGTTATAATCTCTTGATAACATACGCGTTCAGAACAATCGCATTAAAACATCCTTTTCACACAATGTCCAGTCTAATTTCTTTCTCCTAGCGTTTAGTGTTTCTGATTGTCGCAATAATTTCGAAATCCATTGAAAGAGACAAAATTTCGCTGGTAAAATTCGTTAACGAAGCACCTTTTCGTGACACGATTACATACAGCTCGCGTATCCGCGGAATGCGGGTAACAAGTCCCGCTTACTGTTTCGGGACCAGCAAGTAAGAGCAACACTACCGTGTGACCGATCGTGCTCGACTGAGTTCCACGTTATGCGCCAACACCAATGTCTCTTGCCCACCTCTGGTCTCCACAAGCCCCCACGGTCTTCGTCAGACTTAATGTTGTGTATCTCATGCGCATATTCTGCGTTCTCTTCTTATCCACCCGGTACATTCGCACTTGGAGAAGAGATATAGCAGTTGTAAAAGAAATTAATCTTATAATGGTTGCATAGAGATTTAAAATGCTAAATAGGAAAAAATATTAGATGACAGAGTTATTTTTATACATTATGAAAAGTTAACGTATAGGAAAGTTAATTTCATAGTAAGATTGCCCTTTGTTTACCACTTATCACTCAAATTTTTCCACGTATGTTTTTGTGAATAAAACTCTCGTGTTCATATTTTTTCTGCTATAAATGGAGATGTTTTTGTTTGGTTTTTTTATTGCTCGAAGATCAGCTTACAAAAAGTTATTCATTTATAATCGCTGATTTTTTATATCTTCACATTTAGAAAATTTTAATTCTGGATTGAAAAGCTAAAAATGAACATTACAAAGAGTTACAGAAAGCTGTAATTTAAAATCACAGTTAAATTTATATCTGTAATCTTCCTTCTTTTTCAAGACAAATTTATTGTTTTTGACGTCTAAACGATGATTTGGAAATGAATGCTAAATTATAACCCATACCTTTCTGGCGTATCAATTAATGCGCGAAAGCTTTAATCAAATGACTCGGGTCAATTCACTGATTCGTGTCATTTACTACGGTGTATCCGGAGTATCGAGTAATGACGAATTTCCGTCGACATGATTTCCCTTTTCTTTCTATGAATAATAAATACGGAGTAAAGTCACTCCGTCACTTGATCCTAAAGTGTGATACTATTTCTCGGTACATAATGCCCACTGCCCGCACTTAATGGATATAGTGGGGTTCTTGTTACGATATTATCAGACCACTCACAACAAGGGATCCTCGGACTCATCAATTCAGCGTATCAAATACGTTCTCACTTTCTGCGCTTTGTCGCCTGAAATCTAAATTCCTCTTTCTACCAACGTCGATGAGAAGGACAGCGTTGACTGGTGACTAATTTCTATATTACTATATGGCGTGACTTCTCTAAACCAGCACAAAATCACGCAGATGATAGTCCTTCCTGTTTATCACGTTATTCTAGCGTTCTTTAGACACTCTCTGCAAACACATTGTTCGCACTCGTGTCTAAGCATATGTAATTATCACATCACTCTTTATCGTTGCGTAAATAATAAATTGGATAATAAAGATAAAAGCAAGTGATACAATATATAATAAACATAATAATAAAATAAGATAAAAAATGTAAATATATAATAATCAAATCCTAAATCATATAACAAACTCAAAATAATAAATTATAAAGTAAGAAACAAAAAAAAAATAAAAAATGTGTATAATAAACTCAATAAAAAATAACTGAATATAGTAATAAAATGTAAAATATAGTGATAAATGTAACAACAAATGATGTAGCAACACAAGATGAAGTAAAAAACATTTTTTACCTGTTTAGAATGAGTCATATATATCTGTGGTATTATTATAACCAAGGAGCATGTATTTCACTTCTGATCGATTATATGTTCATAATGTAAATATTTTAAATTATTACAATATTAAATTCATAAAAATAAAATATTAAGCAGTAACAGAAATTTAATCGGCTCTTGAAGAATGAAACAAAGCAAAGCGAGTGAATCACTATAATTCTTTCCAGGAAACAGTCGCTTTTAAATCATGTAAAGATTTGTTTAGATCATTAATGTTAATATTAAAGATAAAAGCATCAGCATTGCTCTTGGAAAATATTCACATAAAACAACTAAAATATTTAAAAAAGATAATTTTATTTTAAAATATGTACTATTCTGAATCAATAAATCTGTTCGCGTTGCTTGCACTTTCTGCACTCAGTATCTTCACTTTCTCTTTTTTCAACGCTCGAATATATATTTAGATCTGCTCGTGTTGTTTAAAATTCTCAAAAATTTTTGCACTTAAAACGAGATAAATATATAATTGGCCGTCAGAGAAAAAGAGAAAAAAAGACGAAGATTTTGAGCAAAAAGCGCAAGCAACACAAACAGATCTTTAATCTTGTTAAAAAATTTTTTTAACAACTTCAAGCAAACCTAATATCATGACGTTTTCTCTCACGAGGGACAAAAGGAAGCCTTGAATCAATGAGTTAATGTTAAAGGGGAGAAGGAAGATACTTCACAATAGAAATAATTTATATTTATTCTCGTTCAAATTGCCTAATATTGGCTCATCCATTTTCTTCAATCACGTCCTTTAAAAACTGTTTTCACATATCAAGTACCTACCTGCATCTGATTAGCTAGAAGCACGAGGATGCTCCTGTTGTACACCTGTTGCTCTGATGGCACCATGAGTCTGTGTATCGACTTTAAAACATCCGGTAGCTCTCCTAATCTTGGCGACACACATGTTTTGGCAAATTGCAACATTGTGTACTTCTCGTACTTCTCCGGATTGTCCGCGTACATCTCGAAAAGTGTGTACAGCTCCTGCACTTGACCGAGATAATGATCTAATTCCTTCAGACTGTTGTCGAGCCTATGTTGCATAGGAAGTTGCAGTAGCAATTGCGACAAGATCATATCGCTTTTGTCCTCCACGCGTCCCTGGTATTCGTCGATTTTCTTCGAGACTTGGTCCATCCGCTTAAGCAATTGACGTTCCATCATTTTCATGAATACAAGCTCTTCGCCGGCTTTCATATCAGAAGGGAGGCTTGCGTTGATCATCTCCCAGGATTCCAACACATCCACCACGGCTTGGCGGCCCAGTCTGATCAGGTCGAGCGCGTCGTTTATGCCGATTCCAAAGACACAGCCAGTGCTCGCCAGGACGACGAGCAAGGCTATCCCTTGATGGTTCCTAGCCATTTGGAAAGAGTAGGAAACGACGCGACGACGAAGACTAAGATGTCGGGAGAATGGCGCACAGCGCACTCGCCGTCTGTGATTGGCGACGCTACACGCTGGGACTAACGACTGCTTGCTTGCCGTTCACTCGATTCAGACGGGACGACCGTTATAGGCCGAGGACAGTAACAGACAAAGTGAATGGTAGGGGGTATTGCACCCGCGGTTACGAGAATACAAGATATGAATGAAATTAGTCGTTTTAACCTTTTCTCATCGCGATATACATGTGCATTCATAAGACCTTTGTTCCCACTCTTCCAAACATATGAAATCGAAGGGTGAAGGAGGAGGGACAAGAACTTTGTTCCCACTCTTACAAACATATGAAATCGAAGGGTGAAGGAGGAGGGACAAGAAATACGAAAAGTTCGTTCCTGTGGAGGAAATATTAGGAATAATAAATATTAAGATTTCAATCTACCAGATATATTAGTTGCACTGAAATATACGGTTTTTAATAGGTTGAAATCTTAATATTTAAAAATGTCTTATCTAAAATCTAAAATTCTATCCGGACAAAATTGGAATAAAATATTCATAAAACTAGTTTAAAAATACAAAATTGAATAAAAATTTACTTTCACACAATATTATTTTTTTAACAATTTTAAAATCAAAAAGTTTGGTTTAATAAAATAATAAATTACTATCTATTAAATAATCATATATACATATATATATATATACATATATATATATAGAAGGACTATGAGCCTAATAAATTCGTTTAATTTAACAAAACTAAATGCAAAACGCTTCGATTCCGATTGGGTCATTATCAATGTTTAAAATATATCGGTTATGAGATATACATAAGTATGTGTCCTTCACCGATTACTTGTAACATAGATTTCATTGTCTTGATGATAAATATAAAATTCTTAATTGAAAAAAGAATATAAATTAATATAATATTTTTTGTTCGTTTTTTTATTGCAGTAATATTTTATAGTCTTGGCAAATGTTCAGAGTAAAAGTATAAATTCTGTCAAATAACAAAGATTACATTGTAATTCAATGACAATTAAATTACATTGTAATGTCTTTCCGCACGAATAAATCTACTATAAAACGAGCTTTAAATTTATATTTTATATGTTTACATAAGAATGTTATGAGACACGCTCTTATGTAAGTTTGTATGCAATTGGTTTATATGTTGTATGTTATCCGCGCGCGCGCGCGAGATATGAAAAGATTAAATTCATATCTTCCATCAAAAGATGTGCTTTGCGAGCACAATTTAATGACATTGATGCATCAAAAATAAATGAAGGTCAACTAGATATTTTGCACGAAAGTTTTATGAGAATGTTTACAGCAATCGTAACATTACAATATAGTTATAAGTTATATATAAAAATTAATACAATTATAATGTATTAAAAAATTTTTATGGATACACAAAATATCCAATACAAGATATTTTATTGATTGTCTATGTATATAATATAATTAATAACGTTTTCTTTTGTGTATTTCTGCTTTCAGGTGGCTTTCTACGAGATTTTAAATGGATTATGGGTTCGTAATGGATTGCAAATAAAGGGCCAAGCAATGACCTATATACAGTGTAATTTTTGCAACTCCATGGTGGACGCGGATTTATATCTGCTGCAAATCTGCGCTACAAAATTAATGCCAGATGTCTTTCTGAAAACTGTTATCGAAAAGTAATTTCTCTATCTCATTTGTTTTTTTCACCTCATTTAATTTCTTTTTACATCAAATCAATAATGCAAACGTTTTAATTTATTTTTATTTTAGATTTCATGTGCTGGAGTGGATGAGTTTATGCCTGTATCATGCCCCACAAAATGAATACCTTGAGGGCGAACATGATACTCCAATGTTGGAAAGTTGTCTAACATTTTTGGCTACGTTAGTCAACGTCAGAACAAATCTTGGTAAATTTCTATCAGTTCTAATGCAATTATCTTAAAAATCTCTTCTTTTTAATAATAATAAATTTTATAAAAATAATAAGTTACGTGTGAAGGGCTAAAAGCCAGTTATGTATAGATAAAGACGTTTAATATACAAAGGAAATACACATACAAACGTTTCAATACCGATCGGGTCATTCTCAATGCTAATGTTAAATTGAAATTATTATAATTATGACGCTTCATTTCACCTGCGTATATAAATAATAATTAATAATAGGCTCTATAAGAATAAATGAAACTAATAAGAAATTTTATAATCTTGGAAATAATAGAAAAATATTAAAGCAAAAATAAAATACTTATATTAGGACATTATATTTTTTTACATCAGGTTTATCGGATCCCGAAATGTCTCGTCTTGAAATGGTGACTTTACTATGTATGGGTGATAAGACACATAGCCAATTGATGGAACTAATGCCGGAACGCTGTGGAACTACTCAGAATAGAGACTTTGAATCTGTTCTAGCTGATGTATGTTCATCTTATTATGTATATCTGAAAGAATTATTTTAATTTCTAATTTTATTTTATATACATATAAATGTTACTTAATCGATTACAATTACGAACAATTTTTGTATTTTATATAGATACATATAAAAATTTTAAATGATATTATCTCTTTTATATAACGGCATAATGTTTTTATAGGTAGCGCAATATAGAGCTCCAAATCTCGAGGCAAGTGGCAATATGCAACAGGGTATGTATGGACCAAAGGCTCGCGTATGGGAAGAATTATTTGATCCCTTACATGTACTGTTGAGAGCAGTTCATAGGAGAGATTTCCAAGTATCTATGGATCGTTTCACAGAATAGTATGCATTAAATTTCTTGATAAAACACATTCTGAAATATTTTATTTTCTATTAATATTATATTTTTCTATTGCAGCGTAAAGCAATCGGGCAAGTTGAAAAATAGTGCAACTCTTTGGCCACCATTTAGACAACCGGCTCCGGTTTCGTCGGACTATGACGATCCTCGTATAGTCCTACGTTCTAGAGTTTTTCATGCTATGATCTTAATAATACTCTATAAGGCTGTGAATGGGCGTAACATATCAGAACATGTTATGGCACTGGCTATTTATCTTCTAGAAATGGCAGTTATTACTACGGAACCGCCGGATAAATCTGTAAATAATTCTTTTGATAAAATAATTAATCTTTGAATTGCTTTGAACAGTTCAGTCTTTTTCTTATATACGTAAATTATTACTTTATATATAATAAAAAAAATATGATTCATCATTTATGCATTTTATCTCTCTCTTATTTGATTTTAATTCTTTTATATTTCTTTTAAAACCATTTTGTCTATTCTGTATTATTTTATATAATATCATTTTCAGGGGAGTCCTTTATGTCAATACACCGGTGGCACCTTTCACGTAATAAAGGACATGGATTTGGCTGGATGGTACGAAAGTGACAGTTTGTCTGAAAATCTGAGAACAACGATACCTCAAGTGATTCTAGTCCAAGAGTCGGAGCATAGCAGCTCAGACAGTAAGCATTATAAATTTGTCGAATTTTTTTTTATATAATTGATTTACTTTGAATATGCTGATAATTAGCAAACAATACTGATAACAATATATAATATTGTAATTATATGAATATTATAAAATAACAAAATTAATTTATATAGTAATGATTTAGTAACATGTTAATATTTTTAATATGATTTAACAAACTTACTAATCTATTTAATTAATAATAATTAGGCGAATTCGAGTGGGAGATGATTCAGGGAGAGATGAGCGAAGTGGCGACATCTTTAATGTTGAATGACGGTGTGGATGATGGCGCGGAGGAAGTTTCTTTGGAACTGTTAGGATTTTCTGTAGACACCGTTAGAGATGACAATGGTGTGTCAAGTGCGAGTGCATCATCTTTGCCGGCTTTACTACCGTCAGTCGAGAGTGCTACATCTCTGCCAGCATTACCATCAACAAGTGGTTAGCAAGATTTTTATATAGATTATATATTGCAGCGTTGATTATACATTTTTTCAAAACATTTACTATTTATTTTATTATGTATTTTTATATACATTATTTATCATAAATAATGTATATAAAATAAATTTTTGTTATATTCTATAATGTTATAGTGGAATATGGTGTAGCAATTATACCTGAAGACGGAATTGTCGCCATACCAGCTCGTAGTAATAGTGAGGATGACTTAACGATACCTTTGCAACGAGCTTTGCCACCATCTGGCGAAGAATCGATAGCAATCCATCTAGCAATTGAATCGCCCCCTTCGCCAAATAGTACGTTTTTCAAATTACTTCGTAATTCATAATGCTGATATGATATATATATATCAAAGTTTATATGTAAAGGATATTGTATCTAATTATGTTTTTAATAATAATTAGATGATGTCGGCGGCCAGCCAGCATTACCACCTGTTCCTCAACGCCCAGCAGTTATGGCCGGCAATGAAATAGTCACAGCACAACCTGTTAATTATAGGGCTACAGAAATTGTTCCATCCACGTCAAATTCTTACAAACATTTTAAGAGAAGAGACATACAAGTAATATAATATTACACAGATATACTATTTCTAATAATATTCTAAATTTTATTTATCTCTTATTGTATACTATATATTTTAATATATTTACCACTTGATTTAGCTTATTATTATAAAATATTCATGGATCTTTCAGGGTGGACCAATGCAACCGCAATCTGTAAGAGTAGGAGAGAGCATAATCTCTTTGCTATTAAAATTACATTCTCAATTATCGGGTGTACCAGACAGCTACAACCCCGAACAAAGTGCAATGTCAGACAATGAAATCAGTAGCAGCAGCAGTAGCAGCAGCATTAGTAGTAGCAGCTCTTTCATATCATTATTACCTAGTGAATCGCGAATCGGTGATGGACCATTCTTCATCTCGCAGCTACTTAGAAAAATCGCGGATTTAGATCCTATGTGTAAACAAACGATTATTGAGACTAGGGATAAATTATGGCCTCGTATGCAAGAATGCGAGGAAGATGAGCAGCGCGAAAAGGAGAATCGTGAGCGAGAGGAACGACGAAAAAGAGCGAAGGAAAGGCAACAGAAGCTGATGGCAGAATTCGCTGATAAACAAAAACAATTTATGGAGAAAGCAATGGAAACCGGTAAGTTATCTATTTTGTGCGTGTGCGTGTGCGTGCGTGCGTATATGTGAATTATTACAAATGTTTACAAAAATTGTAACATTTTAATTTATAATATTCTATTCTACAACAGAAAAATGGATATTTAGTCAATCAGATATATTAATGAAATCATTCTCTTTTTTACAGAAGACACAGATACATCTAGGATGGACTGGGATCACGAGGAAAATGCGACTAAATTGACTAGTAAAAAGGACTATGACTGTGTGATATGCAATCAAACCACTCCCAGCAGTGAGGACAAACCGATGGGACTCGTTGTATTAGTTCAAGTAATATTTTTACTTTTTATTGCACGATAAATATATTTTGCATTGTATATATAATATATATTACAAATATACATTTCTTTATGTAGGCCACTAGCATTATCGGCCACGAACGACAACAATCGGATAGGCTAGTTCTTCCCACGTCCGATGAAGATCCGCCTATACCCAAAGGAGATACTCGAGGTGCCCATTTTGACCGCAGAATGGATGAGATGAATCGTTTATTTGACACAGTAAGTACAATATACTAATACATTTATTTACAGTGTGTGTGTGTGTGTGTGTGTGTGTGTGTGTGTGTGTGTGTGTGTGTGTGTGTGTGTGTG